GGAGGGAGACAGGGAGGAAGGAAGGAAGGAAAGAGGGGAGGAAGGAAGGAAGGGAGGGAGGGAGGAAGGCAGGAAGGAAAGAAGGAAGGGAGGGAGGAAGGAAGGAAGGAAGGAAAGAAGGAAGGGAAGAAGGGAGAGAGGGAGGGAAGACAGGCCAGTCCTTTCCCAAGGTCCAAAGTGTCCATGAAAAATGGTGCTCTTAGAATAACTAAGTTTTAAGAACAGGGACAATTTGGAGGTCAACTGGCTTCAGAACTTCTTAATCAATGCAAGCATCCACAACCATAAAAATGAGATAAAAGGGAAACCAAAGACTAAGAATTCAAGAGTTGGTGGTGAGAGATAGGTTGGAGGTGAGTGAGCTGGGTGTGGCATGGTGGAACAGACAAGAAAAGGTAAGTCATGAAAGATATCATTTCATTTAACATGCCTTTAGATCCTGATTAACAGGTTGCATGTACTCAGGGGTACCTGTTGATGAGTACAGGTGAGACATCCCAAAAGGTGAGGTCACAATGGACTAGAGAAGGAAGTAATGAAGTAACAAGGCCTCTGGAGACAGGATCTCTTCTGGAAGTGATGTGGAAGTGATGTGTACAGTTGCTATATGGATTTGCTGTACCATCATGTGCTAACTTACTTCCCCCATCACCGTTAACTCCTATCAGAGGAAAAGGTAATTTTTCTGGTCTATAAAAGGCTGATTTGGGATTGTCATTCCTATTGTAAACTTTCTGAGTATCTCCCAAAGGAATCAGCCTATTTCTGAAGAAAATGGAAAACTCACCACAGTGGCTATAAAGCCCCCCTGTTCCCCCTCTCCCCCTCACCACACACACACTGACCACATGGAGACAGTTTTCGGCAGACAAGGACATCCTTCTTGCTTCTCTGCTCAGACCCATACTCAGGCTTTCTGGATCCAGGGAAAATGGGCTCAGACCTTTCATACCTGCCTCCTAAACTCACCTCCCCAAAACTAACTCACCCTGCAAGCTCTTCTTTCTGGTAACTGATGGGAGCACCTGGGCTTATAATCACCAGAAAAGTAAAGGGTATTTATTTAATGGAGCCCAGAATGAGCACATTAGGCGAACTTACCCCCACACCTAGGAGATAAAGTCTTCTTTAAACTATCACCCACGCTTGAAGGAAACCCACCCAGAGTAGGTCATCTCACTGTGACCTTTCTGGGTCCCACCATTCTTCACTCTGAAAGCCCATTTCTGACTCCCCTCATGCAAAGCTTGTGTCAGGGTGACTGTCTCAGACATGATTCTTTCCTACAAGCTTAAAGTTTCCTAATTCACAGCATGAAAGGTGATAATTGTTTCCCAGAGGTCTCAGAAGCTTCAGGGCCAAAATCTTCTTCCCAAACTGAATTGTAAAGTATTCACTTGCACTTAAGAGAACAGCAGAGGAGAGGGCTTGATGGAGGAGGTAAGTGGGAGAGGTGAACAAGACATGATCAGGAGGCCGTGACATCAGGAATAAAAAGCTTTATTGTACAGAGGAAGCAGCTTCATAATTGGACTCCAACACCAAGTCCCCCAAAGATCTGTGTCCAAGAGGGAATCAGGCTAGTGAACGTTAGAGGTTAAACCTCAAGACCTCACAGCCGTGGACTGGACATGGGTGGGATGAAGAGGGAAACCCAGAACATTTCAGAAGCCCTTCCATCCTTGCCTTCTGTTCTTCCAAATGGAGGAAGAGAAGTCTCAGGCTGGGTGGGTCTTCGGCACTTTGGCTCCTCCAGTGCTGTTCTTCAGTGATCCTTGGGGCCCGGGGTCAGCAGCAGCCCCCAGAGCAGCAGCTGGAGCCCCCAGAGCTGTGGCAGCAGCTGGAGCCTCCAGAATGGCCACCACCACCACCACCACAGCAGTCAGAGCTCTGGTGTCGGTGTCGAAGAGATCGGCGGGGCCTGTGGTGGCTCAGGCAGCAGCCCCCACCCCCAGAGCTGCAGCAGCCCCCGCCCCCGGAGCTGGAGCCACAGCAGGAAACTGGAGGTAGGCAAGGCGCTGGACACTTAGGGGGGCACTTGGGGGGGCACTTGGGAGGGCACTTGGGGGGGCACTTGGGGGGGCACTTGGGAGGGGGCTGGCACTGCTGCTGGTTCTGCTGGCAGGACATCTTGGCAGGAACTGAATGAGGCTGAAAAACAATATGGCATTTCAAGTTCAACCAGCCCAAAGTAACTTCCCCACATTTAAAACTGAACTATGAATTCAGGAAATTCCATCTTTATGATGATCACATTTTTAAACCCAATCTCCCAAAGTCAATTATAAGAAATATGCAAAAAGGTTTCAACCTGAGAACTCCATAATTTCAAAATGAATTCCTTATAGTTTCAAAAAGACACCAATCTTTCTTTCCCTTCCCCTACCTTCTGCCCTCCCTCTCCAACAGAATCCTCCCATCCAAATCCTCTTTTCTCGTCTTTCTGAAGACTGTCCTCAGCCTCCACCAAGGGCTGCACTCTGCCTGAAACACCAGCACCAAGAGTCCCTCCTGGTCCTCGAGATGCACTTTACCTGGCTCAAGCACTGGAGATCACCCAGGATTCAGGTGGACTGAGGTGCTGTTAGAAGCTTCCACCTTTTATATAGGTTCAGCTCTGACCTGGTATCAGGAGGTGTGGACCAAGTGCGGGATGCTAATAGCATCTTTCACAAGGGGCACGTGTGACTACCCTCCCTTCACATCCCAGGGACCCAAGTCCTCCCTCCGTAAGCATGTCAACTATTACCTTGTCAGGAAGCTCCCCTGAGAATTGCAGGCCACTAGGATAGTGATGGTGCTTTGTGGATTGCACACCACATGTTAGCCTCACAGGCAGCTCTGCTATGCTCCCTGTTTCCTGAGCTGGGTCAGTGGACTTCTAGACCTCAGGGATGAAGAGAAGGTCTCTCTTCTCTTTGGTTTGAAAATGGAAGGAAAAATTCCCAAGATGGAAATCAAATAGCTCTTTTTAGAATAAGATTTAGAGATCCAGAATAAAATGCCAGGCCCAAGCCAATGATCTAATGTGGCTTTTTCATTCTTAGATGGTGCCATAACCCAGACTAAGAATGCTTGATATCTCAGTGATGTCATTTTAGTCAGATCTAACGCAGATGGTGTGGGTGGTTGGGCTTCTCTCCTTACCTGAACTTGGCACACCAAGAGAACTCTCAAATAGCACTGGTTCAGCACTAACAATCCCTTTGAAAGGGTAGAAGAAGTCTAGGAATTGGGTGGGGGGTGCTTCTGGGTGGCTCAGTCGGTTAAGCGTCCAATTTGGGCTCAGGTCATGATCTCACACCTTGGGAGTTTGAGCCCTGCATCAGGCTCTGTGCTGACAGCTCAGAGCCTGGAGCCTGCTTTGGATTCTGTGTCTCCCTCTCTCTCTGCTCCTCCCCTACTCACTCTGTCTTTCTCTCTCTCTCAAAAATAAATGAACATTAAATTTTTTTTTTAAAAAAAGAAGTCTAGGAATGACTTCTTTTTCCACATATGGTTCTAAATATATGGTTCTAAATAAGACATCTTTGGACAGCCCAAGGTGAGGTGGCAAGGACCGGGTGTATGCTGAGGGTGGAAGAAGGGAACTAGACTCATGGAGGTTGCCAGAACTGAGGCATCAGTTCTGGTCATCCCTAAGAAAATAACATCCAACCCAGGAAGATCCTTTTTGCCTAAATGACCTTCAGATGAGGGTGAGGAAGGAAGAATACATAGTTTTTACATGGAATCCACAGCTTTTTTTCTCTAAAAACAATATTCTGAGTGCAAGCGGGGTCCCTAGGAAAGTCATCAAACTATTTAGCTGGAAACAGGCACAATATGGCATGTTCACAATGAAAAGTGTAGTGGGAGGAAATAAGACAGGGGAAATGTACAATCTTCAGCTTCTATCCTGGGCTCATATGCTGCAGTGAGAAGCATGTGGCTAAATTATAACACAGGTTCAGGAGAGACACTGTCTAGCATTTGTTCCCACCTTTGCAAACTCAGGCAAGTTACTTAATCATCACTATAAAAAGGGGCTGAAACAAATCCTAGCCCACTAAATAAGGAAATGTAGATAAAGTTCTTAAAACTGTGCCTTGGACTAGTTCAAAATGCTACTTTGAAAACAATCTAATCATTACGGGTACTTTTATATCCATGAGGAAATATCTTTTCAATTTCAAATGACTGATCTACCACTTTTTAACCCTAAAATTACTTTTTGCAATATCAGAGCTGAGTCTTAATGTTTTCTTACAAAAAAAATCATGGTACCTACTTGCCACTGTGGGATGAGATTATAAGACAGCCTAATCATTATAAAAAAATACAATTAGAAGAATTTAAAATTAATTTATAATCCCATCTTCCAAGCATTTTTAATAGTTTACAATTTTCCTTAAAGTCTCTGTTTCACTTTTTCCAGTCTTCTTTACTGTATATATCTTTTTAGTGATTTGTGTTTTGTTCTGTTTTTAAGTTTATTTTTTTTTACTTTGAGAGAGAGAGGCAAAGAGAGAGTACATGTGCAAGCAGGGAATGGTAGGGCGGGGAAGAGAGAATCCCAAGTAGGTTCTGTGCAGCCTGATATGGGGCTTGAACTCACAAACTGTGAGATCATGCCCTGAGCCAAAATCAAGAGTCAGATGCTTAGACTGAGCCGTCCAGGCACCCGATTTGTGCTTTGTTTGGACTTTACAGTCTTTATCATCGTGCTGTCTGTAAGAATTTATCTTACAAATTTTTCACTTAAGATTTTAACATGAATATTTTCCATGTTGTTATTCATTCTTTGTAAACATTATTTTTGGTAGCCATAGAACATTTCATGGAAGGCACTGAACCCATTTATAAGTGATCAAGAACATGAGTGCTAGAACCAGTCGTGGTTTGGATCTCAGATCCCCACTTACCAGCTGTGTGACCATGGACAGGTGACACTAGTTCTCTGTCTCACTTTCTTCACCTGTGATATGGTGAAAGTAATAATGTTTATTTCATCAGATCATTTGCAGATTAAATGAGTTAACATCCATAAAACTCTTGGAATAGTGCCTGGTGCATAGCAAGCATTTTAATGAATATTAAAAGTGAAATGTGATGCAGTCCACTTCCAAATATCAGCACATGGTGAGCAGGTGGGTTTAGGTAAAGACCACCAGGTGAGGAGCCAGGGAGCTTTCTTTGGCTGCTAGAGCTGTGCATCAGAGGATCCACCTCTTCCCCTCTAGCTGAGAAATATAGGAAAGGATGCATAACACAGGCTCTGAATTTATGGAAAAAGAAGACCAAATAGAATTTAAAGAAATTATATATTTAATACTTGGGTATGATGAATTTTGAAAGAAGCAATGTCCATATTGTTTTACTTATAATTAATTATGTGGGTAGATCTAATAGCTGACACACGGTAAAGTCAGGAACCCCAAAGAATCCAGTTTAATGCTTTGTAGTCAGCAGACACTCAATTTTCATTTCCTCATCCAGTTGAATTTGCTTGTCAGTAAGAAGGAGGGGCGCCTCCAACAAATCCAAAGCCAGATTTTCATTGACAAATCCCAGATATTTCATGGAATGGAACAGAAGATATGTAAAGGAGCTCAGCCACCGTTCAGAGACAATGGTTCTCAACTCCAGCGAATCATGGGCACTGACAGTCTTCAAAAGTTCACTGGGTGGTTCTAATGTGCAGTAGGATGAGAATCACTGATTTTGACCGTGACTCTATTTTACATATGAGGAAACTGAGGCTCAGAGATGAGAAGAGTCTTGTCCCAGATCACACCAAGACTTAGCAGCAGGGCTGGAATTCAGATCCTGCTGTAGCCCTCTATCACAGCACCCTGCCTCTTTTATATTTTATTTCTCCTTGTGATGTTTTTTTCTAACAAGTTTCATTTTATATAATCTGCTTGTCAAACATGGCTATTGAAGTTGGGGTGAAAATTGTCCTAAACTTGGTGAATAACTGTCAAAATCTCATGGTTAGAAACATTGGAAGTAATCTTTACTGCAACTACTCTCAGTCACCAGGAATTGAGTACGTACACGTGAAAGGCAGTGTCTGGCTTTACAAGAGTTAGGCCAGCTGGCAGTCCTCAAGAGCCATCCCCAGAGTGTCATCACCTTGGTGACATTTCCTTGGGCCAGAAATCCAACCTTGTCCATGCCTCTGAGCTTACCAGTCCTGGTAATGCTGAGTCATTGCAACTAACTCCCAAGAGACCCATGACATCAGTTTACAAAGAGAAACGTGAGTGTTAAATATTGGCCGGATGGGTATATTCTCTTCCTGTAGGAAAACCCCTCAGAGAAATTGAGTCATAATCTGGAGGTGTTTGGTGAGGTGGGATTGCATAATGGCCTCAGGTTTTGATGGTGACCCAAACCATATGTGCCCATCAAGTCATCTGGATACCTCCAGCCCTAGACATATCTGAGTGGTCCTAAAAACCTCTGGTGCCTGCCCTTCCTCTGTGCTTCTTTGTAAACCATCCTTTTCACTGCCAGAACCCTGTCCAGAGAAACAGCTCTGTCGGAGTCTTTTGCTGAGTAGTGCTCCCATTCATACCATGCTGATTTTGGAATTTAACACTGGGACAGTAATTTCATTATTTGTCTTCTTTTCATTACACACTATTGCCCTGACACACATTGTAGTAAACAGAATAATGCCTCTCCCCTCAAAGATGGCCATGTCCCAATCTCCAGAACCCATGAATAGGTTACCTTACACAGCAAAAAACATTTTACAGGTGTGATTAGGTTAAAGGTTTTTAGAGAGGAAATTATCTAAGATTAACCAGATGGGCCCTATGTAATCAAAGGGTACTTTTAAGAGGCAGGCAAGAGGGTCAAATGCAAGGGAAAGGAAATGTGACAACTGAAGCAAGAAGTTGGAGAGATGTGCTTTGAAAATGACCATGAGCTAAGGAATTTGGGAAGCCTCTAGAAGCTGGAGACAGTAAAGAAATGGGGCTCCCCTAGAATCTCTAGCCAGGATGTAGCTCTACCAATACCCCGATGTTAGCCTGGTAACACCCTGGTAAGACTTCTGACCACAGAAGAGAATAAATTTGGATTGTTTTAAGCCACCAAGTTTATGGTAATTTGTTATAGCATCAATGAGAAACTAATACATACCCCCTAAGTTTAAAAATACCTTCAAGTTCCAGAACATGGTTTAATTAATTAAAATGAAATCAAATTTATTAAAATTATTTCCACTGATGTTTGTAAGTAAAGCCTCATGTCTCTCAGTTTGACAAGATGTCTTTGGCCAAGGGTAAAACTCAGTAAAAACACAACAAAGAAAATTCTCAAAGATAAACAATGAAGCTGCCTGGGCTTATGTCCCAGCTCTGCCACTTACCAGCTGTGTGAACCTCTGTGAACCTGTTTCCTCATCCATAAAATTAGAATAATAATAATGCCCATCTCATAGGAGTATATGAAGACTCCTTGAGATAATGTTTATAAAGTCCTTAGCCCTGGACATGACATGTAGGAAGTGCTCAGCAACTGCTAGCCCTTCTTACTCCTGTCATTATTACTATTGTCCCCATCCATAGTTTTCAGTGATCAGTGGAAACTCAGAGATGCAAGGATTGTTAGTAGGACATTCCCAGACCTTCTTTCAGCCTGTCACCTCCAGC